GGAGGTGGTGGGTTTAGTTGTTGATGATGTAGTTGTGGTGTTGTTGGTGAATGTAGTGTTAGGTGTAGTTGTGTTGGTGGTGATTATGTCAGTAAGGGGTGGAGTGTAAGGTGTAGTTGTTGGTGTAGTTGTAGGGATAGCTGAGGTGTTGGTGGTGGGTGTAGTGTCAGGTGTTGCTGTGGTTGAGGTGGAGAGTGTAGTGTTAGGTGTAGTTATGGTGGTGTCAGTATGGGGTGAAGCGTAAGGTGTAGTTGTGGGGGTAGTGGAGGTGGTGATAGGTGTAGTTCTGAGGATGAGGGTAACGGCGGTTGTACTTGAGGCGGCGGTAGTGCTTGTGGCGGTGATGGGTGTCACTGTGGTTACAGCAGCGGCGGGTGTAGCCGTGATTACGGCAGAGACAGTGGCGGGTGTAGCAGGGGTGTGGGGGGTGATGGCGGCCGAGGCCCTGGGGCTGGCGGCCAGGACGGGTGTGGCCGAGGCGTTAGCTGGGGGAGCTGGCCTGGCCGTGGTGCCGGGGCCCTGGGGGACGGGCAGTGGCCTGGCCGCAGCGGGGCTGCCGGGAGAGCCTGTGAAGTCGCTGGTGTCGGGTCTCTCTCCTGGCACTGGAGTCCTGCGCTCGGTCTCCTCATGCTTCGCCGGGTGCCGGGGGTTCCCGGCCTCTACCCTCACGCCAGGTGCGAGATCACCCCAAACGCCTGCTCCGGCACCCGTGGGCGCCCCAGCACCCCAGCCCCTGGCTGGCGCGTCGCCTCCTTCATGCAGCGTTTCCCTCTCCGGCCGCCATGGGGGTCCTGCGGGGAGAACATTGCACGGCTGGGTTCGGGTCTCTCCTACGCTGAGCCCTCGGAGAATAGATCAAAGGATTTCGGGGGGACAACTCGAGTGACGGGCGCAAACGACCCACCTCCGAGTCTGTCCTTTCCAAGCTGTGCTGAGGGAGCCCCGTTTCCCCTGCTCCCGGGAACTCCAGCTCAAAGACCTACAGAAGCTCTGTGGCAACTTGTAACTGTTGGCAAATTACGGGGCTCATGCAGGGGGAAGCGGGTGAAATCGGCTGACATGGGCTAGACGGTGAAAATGTCCCTAAGTCCTGGATCCTGGCAGCAGAGGATTCACCTTCCCCCTCACCCAGAAACACCTGCCTTGGTGCCGGTTCCCTCCCCGTTCCTGGAATCTCCCAGCAGAACCATGCTGTCCCCTTCTCTTTCCCCCGTATGCCGGGGGAGTGCGCAGAACAGGGCCGTACAGAGAGATTCCCTCCCCCTTCCCCGCCCACCCACGACACACGTCTGGACAGATGACCGAAACTTTCAGAGATTTCACAACTTCAACCCCCTCCATCAAGCTCGCCCGCGCCAGCGTCAGCTTCCTGGACACAATCAGCTTTAATAGTGGAATCGGACAGATAACCGTCTCCCCCCCAGAGCCCCCCGGATCGCCCCGCCTTCCTTCCCAGACCTGCCACCACCCTGAACGCACTAAGACACCGGTGATCTGCAGCCAGGCCCTCTGAGGCCGCAGAATAAGCGCCGAGTCCAGGATATGCACCGTCACACGCTCAATCCCACCTTCACCAAACAGGGCTGCTCACCCGGAGAAGTAGATCGCAGCACGGAACTGGCCATCCACATACGCTGAGAGAAATAACCTCCCACTTCCAACCGCACACCCCTAGTGTCACCCACCACGCATAGGGGGTGTCATCAAACAATTACAACCCAGACCCCGCCCTGGAAGAAATCCTTCCCGAACCCCCTCTTCTGGCCTTCGAACAACCCCAAACCTCTCCAGAGTCATCATCGGGCGCCAGCGCCCTGCAGACCAGGACCCACCAACTCCAAGGGGCTCCAGCCTCTGCCGGAACAAGGGGCACAACCCCCCCTTCATTTCCAGATCCAGGGGTCCCACGCCCGCCTGGGGTACCGCCTCCAGGGTGCTGAATACCTCACCAGCCATTATTTGCACGGGGGGGAACCTGGCCAGCGCCCCCATGGTTGAACTCACGCAGGAAAATGATAAAAGACAAAAACCGCCCGGTCACCGGTGGGCGAACCCTTCTCCCAAAGCGATCGCCTCCTGTCTGAGCTCTCGGCCTGGTCCGCAAAGCAAACCTGCCCCCCGCCACCCAGAGACGAGCCGGGAGCTGAAACTCGTCACTCCGCCAGACACCAAACACCAGGGAGCACTAACCCCCCTGTATTGTCCTATGACTGCTGTGGTGTTAACGGGCCACTTCCCCTTGAATAGTCCCTTACAATACACGCTACACAATCGGCCCCACCTTGCATTTCGCTGTGACGCTGGAAGTCCCTTTCCCAGGCCTGGAACCAAGCTCTGTGTAAGCTCATCTCTCTCCCCAATAGAAACAATTACCTCCCCCATCTTGTCTCTCTTGTATCCTGGGCCCAATTCGGCTCCGACCACACCACAAACTCCCAGCTTCCAGTAGCCAGAGGTTTCGGGTTGCCCTGACCCTCTTGGCCATCAGCCATCGATGGTCCGATCCTCCGTGAACTTATCTAGTTCTCTTCAGACCCCAGTTATGCTTTTGGCCATCACAATATCCTGTGGCAGGGAGTTCCACAGGCGAGTTACGTGTTGGGTGAAAAATGACTCCCTCTTGTTTGTATGAAACCTTTTCACCCCTCCTGCCCCCCTGCCCCAAATCTCCTTGCCTCTGCCCTAGACCCCCGTCTCACCGGGACCCTAGAGGGGGCAGAGGGGTATCTGGATCTGGGATGGTAAATGACGAGGGGACCCGGAGGTCCTGCGGAGACCTCACGGCTGCATCCCCGGCGTGGGAACTTCCGGAGAACTTAACAAACTCAATAAACACCAGATGCGCTTGAGACAGGAGTCTCACCACTGGCTGCACTCACCTCCTGGCCGGTGCGAAGACGCCAAGCGCCTGAGGAAGAGGAGGAGGACAAGGGCCAGCAGCGTCTTCATCCTTTACCCTGAGCGTCAGGGGAGCAATGCCCAGTGGTGCTGCCCCTCTCCCGTCCCTGTGCCCATCCTCACCCCACTGCGCCGGGAACCTTTGCCTCACACCTTGGCAAGCGATTAACAGGAGATTGAGCTCTGCCTTTCGCTTTCACGGGCCGAAGGGCGACGGAGGGGCAATAAACCAGCCTCTGGGGCGTGGGACAGCTCCCCACCGCACATCGGGCTAGAGATCACAGGGCCGGAGGCAGGCACGTGTCCCCCCAGCGCTGCCCAGCCCGTCGGATTAGACGGACACGCTGTGGTCCCCGCTAAAACCCTCCTCATCTCGCTCTCTGGCCTTGATAGACACACCCTGGCTCTGCCCAGAGCCAGCCGAGCTTCCCATGGCAAAAGGGGGGATGTATCTGACCCCCGGTCTCATTCCTTCTCCGCCTTCTTTCCGCAAGGAGATACGCAGCTCATCACTCGTCCCCGGTGACACGAAAGGTCCTGCTGCTTATCTGCACAGCCTACAAGAGCTTCTTTGTTACCTGACTTCCCCGTCCAGCCGGCCCACGCAGATAGCGGCTTATTGCTCCAGGCACTGGCTGGCTGCGCCAATCGGCTGCACACCTGCTATCTGGAGAGGGCGGTGAATGTCACCGTCTGGCAAGCCCACAACGCTCCCCAAGGACAATAGAGGTGCTTTTATCTTATCTGGCACTGAACTTGGCAAAGTTTCAAGAGCCCTCCGAGGGTTCGGTCCCGGCAGGAACTGTTGGGAAACTGGGTTTGCGGCCACAGCAAATCCCCGGCCACGTGCATCCTTCTCCGCCGAAACCGGCACCTGTCAGAGGCACCCCCGCAAACCAGAACACGTCTCTGCTGGTGCCCCCGGGGAGGTGCCGTTTGGGTCCCATTCTCCTCTGTTGGCCAGGTCCCCCCGGCCATGCTGCATCTCCCACAGACATCTCAGCCGGTGGGGCGACCCCGGTGTCACGAAGCTCTG